TGACGATCGCAAACTCCTTGAGAGCCAATGCCGCAAATCATAACCGATGGATATTCCATCCATTCGTTTGATCCACTCATCAGAGGAGCTCAGTCTTCACTCTACCAGTGCGCCTTGATTCTACCTGCCTTCACCTATCCAGAAGGATCGTTGAGAATTTGCGTAGACCTTTGGAATTGAGCAAAAAAGGGAAGCGTAAGTAACAGGCAGGTTTTTTTTACCAGCCTCTTATACCTTTTTTCAGAGTGCTGCTGCGAGGGTGCCTTAATGGCCTGGGACTGAATGGCACGAGTACCTCGGAGCCCACCCTCGCAGAACACATCGGTGTACTATACCTCAGGTAGACTGAACAGAACGACACATTTTCGACATTAACGGGAAGTAGATGGCAGTGATAACGTGATAGAATCGTCAAGTTTTCACTGAACATTTTTAAGGATGTGTTGGAGTGTTTTATGTGGTAAGGGTAGCCCTTGCATGGGTTGAATTTTATAATCGTCCTCGTGTTATCACCAAAAAACTTCAATCCCTTCGTGCCTGGAGTTTTTTATTCATGAAAACGGGATAATCATGGAAGAAAACACTATTCAGAATTGTACACAGACACAAGTGGTTGGTTACCTCTTAATGAGATACTTTTCCTGAATTGGTCAGGGGGAACCTTGTTTTGGTTGAATGTTTTGCTGGAAGGTTTGAAGATATCTACGTTTGACGTACGCCTTCCATGTATTGAATTTTATACTCGTCCTCGTCTCTATAGTCAACTTTCAGAAACTAAAAAACTTTAATCACTCTGTTACCACATTGTGCAGTGCTTAAAGTTTTTTATCCATGAAACTCGATAATCATAGGAGAAAGCATCGTTTAAAATTCCACGGACACAAGTGGTTCATTACCTGTGAATGAGATGTTTTTCATGAATTGGTCAGGAGGAACGTTGTTTGGGTTGAATGCTTCGCTGGGAGCCTTGAAGATATGTGCATTTGACATTGAATGATCTCTTAATTTAGTACCATTTAATCTGATGGGTTCAAATGGCTCGATGATGACCGAGGAAATGAATCTTTTGTTCATCATACATTTTCAATTAATATTCAACAGAGACATCACTTTGATATGTCAGCTTCTCCTGAATAATTGGGCGAATTCCTTGAGTGTAATGAGGATTTTATGAGGTATCGCTATCTGCTAACTAGGACTGAGAGTTCAGGTGAGTTGGACAGGGCGACACATTCCAAGAATTATCGGAAAGAAGATGGTAATAACATGGTAAAATCATCAACTTTTCATTGAATATTTTTGAAGTAGTGTTGGAGCGTCTCAAGTACATGTTTTGGTTAGATGTTTCGCTGAGAAATTTGAAGATCTGTGCACTTGATACTAAATGATCAATGGAACATTTCCTTGATTCATTATGATTTAATCTGATCCAAATGGCTTGATAATGAACGAGGAAATGAATATTTCATTCCTCATCTTTTTTGAAGCAATATTCAATAGAGATATTCTTTTGATACATCACCTTGTCCTGAATAACTGAGCGAATTCCTTGAGTGTAATGAGGATATTATGAGGTATCGCTATCTGCTAACTATGACTGATACTTCAAGTGAGTTGAACAGGGCGACACATTCCGAGAATTATCGGAAAGAAGATGATGTTGGTAACGCGATAGAATCATCAAGTTTTCATCGCACTTTTTTAAATAATTGTTGGATTATCTCAAGGAGATGGTTCTATGAATTGGGCAGGAATGACGTTGTTCTGGTTAGATGCTCGCCTGAGAAATTTGAAGATATGTGCACTTGATACTGAATGTGTTCCATTGATTCATTACAATTTAATCTGGCCCAAATGTCTTGATGATGACCAAGGAAATGATTCTTTTGTTCCTCCTTCATTTCTTCTCTACATTCAGTATATAGATATTATCCTGATAGTCCTGATTATCTCGACGAATTCCTCAAGTGTAATGAGGATCTGATGAGCTATCGCTCTCTGCTAGCTATGACTGATCATGCGAAACCAACTTCATCCAACTTTTTGCGCTCACTACAGCCTTCATCTGTTATATACAAAGAGTCGACTCCGCATACGTCGACAACCCAGATTATCGTCCATATCAGTCCTTATCATGTTGATCATCAAATTCCTAACTACAATCCATTTAATTATCCCCCCTCCAAACCTGCACAAAATAAAAATCGAATGAATCCTCCATTACTTTGCACCAAGCTGATCCTAGCGTTAATGTTTTTTCTCCAGCCAACCATCAGACGTGTTTGAGATGCCAGTCTACCCAGATAGTTCTGGGAAGTCCTCAAGGAGAAGTATCATAGCGATATAAAAAGATGAAGGAATCGTAACGGCCTAGTCGTCAGTACCGGTGCACTCGTGGAAAATATCTCTAAATGCTGTACATCCATGTACATAATATCCTTCAACTGGTTACCAGCCTCCACCGTCCCCCGAACACCCAGCCTGTGCGACATAAAGTCGTACGATAATCCAATCGTATATCAATAATAGCAGACGATTCTAAACGCTTGAAATCACATCCATCGATCCTCACTCCCATCACTTCTTCACCCAGGATCGTTATCGTCTTCCGGGAACTCCTCCTGCCATTTACACGATTTACACAAACAGCATTAATCAATCCCCCTAATTGAATAGGAAAAAACTTATTCTTCCTGAGAATACTATTTAATCCATCTGCATAAAGTTGACACGACAATTTCTTTAGCTACTTGACTCAGTGCGCTCTTCTGCATAGATAATAAGTCGTTTGCAAAAAAAATGCGCCAACCGTTAGCGAATGGAAGACGCGTGCGAGTCAACTGGAAGAAGACTCTTACCTTCGTTGATGCCGTATGACTGTACAGTGTCTTTCATCGTTGAGAGCCTCTTCCCTCCTTATTATATCGCTTTTAACCTCGTCGCCATCTGCCACCACACCATTTCCTGCTCGAGAAGACATACCCGCTGGTCATTATTATTATCCCCGAAAAACATAACACACACATACACTGTGGTTTATCTTCGCACCCCAAAAAATTGCATGGCTCTAATCGTTTTCGTAAATCGCCTCGAGCCATCTAATTTTCCCGAAACAACGAATATTAAAAAAAATTACTATAAAAATACTTGAACTTGGTGAATTTAAGCTCAAGGTCAATTGAGATCTTGGTATCCAGGTGTGAAGGGTATGTATCTACCGTCTACTTCCTTTAATTTCCTCGGGTGGATCGATACGACGTGAATGCAAAGTACCCGAGGTGGATTGGTGAACGGAGAAGACCGCACGCAGCAAGAGAGAGTGGATAACCCGGCACTTGGCAGGTAGTCAGATGAGAGAAAGATAGGACCACTTTGGTTTGGAGTACATGGGAGGAGGTGAGGAGGATCAGAGTGAGGAAGATCGAGTCATTGGAAAGGATAAACCCTTGGCTGCAAGGAAGAGAGAAAGAGGTGGAGAGGACGGCAGTCTCGGGAAGGACGTTGGGGGAAGAGTAAAGGCCCCGGGCGAGGTCACCCACCGCCCCCACCTCGGCCCACACCCTGATTACCAGCCGCCGAGGGCGGGACACAGTGTAATGAGCATCCAAGAGGTGCTCAACTTCGACACGCCAATACATAACTTACAGATCTTATTTAACCCTTTTGTGAGTACATTTTCAGATGGAGAATGGAGAGGAGGAGGAACAAGTGTTACGGTGGGTATCAGCATGTGTAAAGGAGGTGGAAAACGGGAGAGAGATATTTTTGGGGTGTGGAGATGGTGACGAGAGAGGGGAGGAACCCCTGGACAACGCGGGGAATACGAAAGTAGTCTGTTGGCTGTCGTCGGGAGACAAGGAGGATGATGGAACGATGTTATTTTAAGTTTTCCATGGGGGTTACGACCCGGTCTACCATCTTGCCCTAATCGACTGTCAGGAACTCTCCAGCGTTTTTAGGTGGTAAGTCGGAGGACCTCTGCAGACACACAGGCATTAGACACCCTTCAGCGGAGAATCGCGCACGGGATTCATGCTCCCTTCGAGGGTGGATTCAAAACACTTTGAAGGAATGTATAACACCGACCTGTTGATTCCGTCAAAGCCATGAAAATAAAAGATGATACGAAAAATCAGACGAGGGGAGTGAGAACTTTTTTTTTCTGCCGGTGGATTCTGGGCTGTTGGGCCGACCGCCCTGGACGCTTCCGGCATTTAGAATGTCGTGTTTCGTGGTAAGGTCATTATCGTATAACTTTGGGTACCTTGAATTGTTAAAGTTGGAAACGTGTCTCAGCGGGCATTATTGCGTGATATTAGCTACGGCTAAGGTAATCATAATCTGCTGGGACAAAACACGAGTCGACGAATCGTATATAACGCTTGAATTTTGTACGATGACGGTGGTATGGAGTTTTTGAGGGGTGGGGGAGAGGGTAAAAAGAATAACAGATATGAGGAGAGGCATTCAGACCGGATGCAGTTTGACTTTTTGCAACCCCCGGGTCGCAAGACACAGCTCGACCCCAATGAAGATGGATCGCTTTGTGGATGTTGAGGAGTTGCCAGGGCTACGGTGAAATTGCGAATGCGCCCAGGGACAGTTGGGTGAAAAAAGTATATTCATGATAATCGAATAAATGAAATGAAATTTGACACGGAAAGACGAAAAGTTTCGTCATTTATCATTTTTGTGTCAATTTTTTTTCGTCTCTCTTATTTCATTTCGTTTTATCCTATTGTTGCTCTCTCTTCTTAGGGGTTTTCTCTTATTATTGGAGATGACAACGATATACCTTTCGGATAACTTCATAGAACGAGATGATTGCGAGAGGAGCAATCTCTGTCGGCATGAGAAACAAAGGATACCGGTGTGTTTGCGTTTTTTTTGTATTCTTTAAACTCTTTTGTTCTCTCCCAATTCCAACGAAGTCCGAGGGATTTCGTAACGATGAATATTCACGAATTGTAGGAATTGTATTATTCAAGGAAAAAACTCACCGTAGGATCTCTCTGCAGCAGCATCACATGAATCTGAAAGGAAATAAAAGGAATTTGAAAAAAATCATTGGAGTAGTCAATCATAAAGTAAAACGAAACAATACAAGTGGTTATAACAATTTCAGTACTATAAATATTGGAACTTTCGCTTTGAACTAGATACCAAACCGCAGAATTTCACCAGACTTTCAACCCATCATCATACTGAAATTAATGGAGAAGTAACGAGCGTTAAATTTATACCTATGCATCACAGTTCTGATTCCTTTGATTTCTTACGCTGCATTGATTTCATCTGTTGTGAATCCACATTAGATAATATTATTTATCAGGTTACACAATGTCGTTTACATGACCCCTGCCCCCCCCCCCCATACCTCTCTATGAAAAAAAACACTATATTTTTGTTCATCCAAGGATTATTCTCCCGTAATAAAAATAATTGACAAATAAAATGAGAAATTGTGAAAAAGGGAAAAATTAGAAAATTATAATTACAGCCTCGAATCTCATATTGGACCATATTCAAAGTCTAATGGCAAAAACTGTCAATTTGGGGATCATTGAAAGAACTAAACTCTGTTAAATTTGAAGCAAATGTAAAACTTTTCGGACACCAGGGACTCATCAGCAGCAATCCTTGTTCTTTTATAATCAGTAATCACAAAGAAAATTAAATCAAGTTCTTGAAATTCCGTTGAACAATTTCTGGGTAAAATCTGCGATACTCTTTTTGAAAATGTGTATAAAATGGAGGTTTAGGTGAAACTTGAAGAAATTTCGTTATTGAAAATCCATACTGTGTCAAACAAATAATCAATGGAAACTGTAAATCCCAGTCCAATTATTCCTAAAAAACGATAGGAATCAGAAAAATGCAGGTCAATGAATTCTTCAGTTTTCAGTTAATATTTACAGTCATACACGGAGAGAAAAGTTGGATAAAAATTACTCAGAAAATCGTGGCAAATTTTACTGTACGAAAGGTAATCTTGGAGCAAAATGTAATTCAGTGAAAAAATACCTGTTTGAGGAAGATATTTTACGATTCGTTGGCTAAAAAAAATATCTATGGATGCAAAAATTATCCTCCTGTACAGTAAAATTCCCCACATCTGTAAGGTTTTTTTTTGTCGCAGCCATCTGAAGGTCACGGGGACAAATGGAAGTGAAATTGTACCGAACACGTCCAGTAAAAAATCATTCTCCATTACAGGAAAATTACACGCAATATTATGCAATCATTCATGTTTACTGGAATAATTTTTAATGCAATGCAAGGTAAATTTTACAGTTTCGGCACAAATCATTGATGTGAAACAAAAAAACACGTTTTGTTGTATCACGTTAACGATACTCTTGAGTTGCAAATAATTTCACTCAGGTTATTTTCAAATTTATAAGGTTTCTTTAAATGAAGGTCAGACTTGAGGTATTTTGATTAGATTGGTTGTTCAATAATAATTTTTAAATGTCTGCAACGAGCCGATGTTCAATTAATTATTTGTTTACATTTATGGATCGCAGTTTAAGAGTTCAATGGATTAAGTTTTAAAATTTCAGGAATGATCACATAATGACAGATTGATATAAGTTGTTACTTCACCTTCAATAATTAATAATAAATTGAAATTGAAATCATTCAACAACTGTTGATTGTGTTGATTGTTCATTGAAAGAGATATGATTTGATTCTAAAAGGGATAACATCCAAAAAAATTAAGAATTTGATAATTCACTATAATTTGGTATTGAAGGTTTTGATTAAATATCAAGTCACTTGGAGAATTCTCCTCTTCCAGTTGCTAAAAAATTCGGAATTCCATTAAATTTTCATTGAAATGAAATTTGTAATTGCCTGATTTTTCTCTTCTGAATAAAATTCAACGTCGTTCTTCTGAAAATACTTCTTGTTTGAAAATTTGACAAGATAACATGAAAGTTCATAGAAATTCCATCAAATAATCAAAAGGAATACCTGATTTACTCCAGCTGTTATAATAAAGTTTCAAATCTATTTGCTGCATGCAAATAGAACATGAGATATCAGATACAACAAGAGAATATGATGGAAACTCGAAGGGAAAAGGAAATTATTTTCATACCCTTTCTCAAGAAGTCCCGACCAGATTCATAAAACTAAATCCCTCCTTCCTTACTTGGAATATTATATCATGATTTTTAATATTCAAACCCGCAATGATTTCTCAAATTATTTTCTCTCTATACACCACGTCTTATCCATAAATTACTCCAGGAATAGAATTTAATGGTAATGAGTGATAATCGATGTGTACAATCACCGCTGCAGGAGTAAACTACTCTGACATTACTCATCATTTGCGAAATTATAATATTATTTCGTAATGTCTCACTCTTGTAAATACACTTGTATGCCCCTAAATGGGGGAGGGAAGGAGGTACCAGAAGCACAGGAGGCCATCAGTTGTCATAAACGCTCGTTGAAATCTCCGGCGGTGCACAGCGTGCTAATGGCCTCATTAGATATTACGGCACCTGCAGGAGTCTACGCACGATTAACTAACCCCATACTATCGCATCTGCCTCTCTTGATTTATCCAGCTTGAGTTTTTGAACAAGTGAGGGAAAAAAATTGAAACGCACGTTCGTATTTATTTATGCATCTTTTTTACTGATGACTCAGCTATACTTGCGTGGAAGTCAATTTCAGAGGAGCGGAGGAGGTTTTGTGCAGCGGTAATGAGCGCTGAGGAGAGAGGGGAGGAACATTTGTATTCAAATATATTTTTCTACGAATTGGCATCAGACGACTATCGCGAATGCCTAATGACTAGTGCCAATGGAGGCCAGCGGTAGATAGTAAATATTAAACGACTTTCCATAACGTGTGGCTTATTTCATAGGCTATTGCATTTTAGGCTGGAGTTCCGAGGCTTCAAAAAATTAGAAATTAATAAGATTGAGATTTTGTCTTCTACAGGGAGAAAAAGGTTGAAGAAAAATTAGCGAACAAGTCAAATAATCGTGGAGCAAACTCGATTTTCAGTACTTTTCACACTATATCGGGGGAAAAGTGCGAGACGAATAGGGGATTTCCCTCCGTGAAAACGTGAGGGTAATTTGTGCCGAAACTGTAAAATTTACCCTGCATTGTAATTTTTCTGTAACGGAGAATAATTTTTTGCCGAACGGGTTCGGTAAAATTTCACTTCAATACATTCCCATGATCATGATCATGATGGGTGCAAGAAAAAAATACCCTACTGATGTGGGAAATTTTACTATAGGAGGATAATTTTTGCATCCATAGAGCGTTTTTTTTATCGAATGAGTCGTAAAATATTCTCTACAAACTGGAACTTTTTCATTGAATTATATTTCGCTCCACGATTACCTTTCGTGCACTAAAATTTGCCACGATTTTCTAGGTAATTTTTATCCAACTTTCCTCTTTGTGTTTACGTTTTGTGATTTATTCAACCTTGTGAGAAAAAAATTGAAATTTCATGAAGGGATTGGTAGTAATTTTCAGGAGAGAGAGATTAAATTTAATTTAGGAGGAAAATCAATCATGAAGTTCCTAATTTCACTGAAAATTTGATGAAATTTCAAATTTTTCGGCAGCATGAAGACGAGAACTTAACTAACTTAAATTTTTAATAAAAACGTGAATATTTGTATCAAATAATACAAAATTTTCAATTGATTGAGAAGGTGGGACGAAAGGAAACACTTTTTCTCGCATGAAAATCCCAACATCTGTTCATAAATAGAGATGTCAAAAATTAAAATGGCTCACAAACATTCACTTTACCTCACTCTTCTCGACATTCAACTGATTTTTTCCGATTTCTATCAATATTCATGAAATAGTTGAACTAAAATTCGCAGTTTTTATCACTTTTTTCATTAATTTAAGAACTTTCAATGACAAGACTTCGTGAAATTTCGGTGAAGTGTATCTTTCGATGAAGATGCCCTTGAAACTTGTCGAAAATTCGGTTTTGGGGGGAAAAAATATCAAAATCTAAATTTCACTAAGAATTCAATGCAGTTCTGAGTTTTTGAACAGCTGGAAGACGAAAGTTCCTCAACTGGATTGAATTGTCAAGCCAAACATGGATACAGAGAATACTCCCTGAGATTTCAGCTACGGGGGTAAGAATTCCAAGAATTTAAGTGATCGGGAAGCCCCCATTCATATACGTCGATGTTTTGACTGAGAAAAGAGGAACGGACAGAGATAACGGACAATCTGCCTGTTCCAATCCTCCCGTTCTACCAGTAATCATACTGCGCATTCCTATCGCGCAGAGGAACGCACGCATTACTCACGCATGCTCAGATTGTTAATGGTGGGGGAAGTTAATTTCCCCAACTGAAATCGTAGGGAGTATTCACTGTATTCAGCACCGAATTCAATTAATTTTTCATTAAATTGTAAATCTTTAATGAGAAATTACTTAAAATACAGGGGAGCTGTCACTTGATGAAATTTCCAAGAAGTGTAACGTAAATTCCAGTTAAAAATTTTCAGTCAACTTAGGCATCTCAAAATAAATTAAAGCCTGATAATTAATGAGGATCGGGAAATAATTGTGATATCTTCAGTCAAAAATATCTGTAATAGAAGAAGTAGTTTCAGATGATTATCTCCATGTGCAGAGATAGGGACATTCCTCTTCTGAGTGTGGAGAATCTGGTTCCGAGACTTCATAAATTGAGAATTGATAAGGTTCAGATTGCGGTCATTCATTGAATGAAGGTATTTCAAATTCGAAGTGGGTGATTGATGAGACTCTGGAAATACTTGTGATATTTTCAATGGATCTCGATGAATATCTGCAAATCTAGAGAGATAGGGCAATTGCACTGCGCGGAGAAAAAAGAGAGAAAAATTACCGTACAAGTCAAGTAATCGTAGAGCAAACTCGATTTTCAGAACTTTTCACCTTATATCGGAGAAAAAGTGCGAGACGAATAGTGAATTTTTCTCCGTTGACCCGGGAAAATTTACTGAGTGTGCCGAAACTGTAAAATTTACCCTGTAT